CAAGCCCATGCATCCCAGCCCTACTGGTCATTTCCTGCCTTAGGGAGTCACAGGAGCTGTCACAGGGAGATACAGCACACTCCTCTTATCAGACTTTTTTTGTTGTTGTTGTCTTTTTGAGACAGGGTCTCACTATGTAGTTCAGGCTGGCCTTGAGCTTACTTTGTAGCCCAGGCTGGTCTTGAACTCACAGTAATCCTCCTGCCTCAGCCTCCTTTGTACTGAGATTACAGGCATGGACCACCATGCCCAGCTCTTTTATTATACCTTTTACCTCTTCTTAGTCAGTTAATGGAATTTCAGCAGGACTGTGTACTACACAGAACCAGATGAATTCCCTGGCCACAATTGTCTAGGGAAATCACTAACCCCTAGATAGACTCACTGCAGGGAGTAGAGGGTACTGAAAAAAAAAGTTACTCTTGTAGAAACAGAACAGGACAGGTCAAGTATGACAACATAGCCAGGCTTTGGGCTGGGGAGATAGCTCAGTGGAATAAGTGCTTCCCTGGCAAGCGCAAGGGCCTGAGTTCAATCCCTGGTTCCGCCAAAGAACAAAACAAACAAATAAAAAATATCCAGACTTTTCTAGAAGCCAATAAACAACTACACAATCAAGCCAGCAAAGGTAGACAGACTGGAAAACCAGTCGCTGGTGGTGCACTGGCCACTCCTTCTTGGGGGAGCACTCCTATCTCTAGTCAGCCTTCTGTCAGCAGGACCACTTGTGTTGAACCTGCCTGTGCTTTTGGTCTCCCTCAGGCCACAGTTCATGGAGTCACAGATGATGACCCACCATGGACTCCAACCTCCTCCACTCTCTACCCCTTTGGGCAGGCTGCCCCAAACCTTTGCTCCCTCCTTGGTCCCAGTGACTCCAGACCCGTTGGGAGGTCCTCCTCTGCCCATATCTGGCCTGAAATAGCTACTGAAAGGGAGATCTCCATCCAAATGTCAAGGACTTGACTTTATCGGTTTGGGGGGGGGGACGGGAACATGGAACCATGTACAATGATTTCTCCACTGTAGAATTCAACTAGACGAATTTATGTTTGAAAACTGAAAAGTCTGAGAACTGAACATATTTTTCCCATTAGAAAAAATGGAAAATCAGGGCTGGTAAGATAGCTCAGTGGTCTAAAGTGCCTGCTTAGGCAAGCTTAGGCAACTGCAGGAACCTTGGTTCTATCCCTGGCATCATGACATGCCAGCCCCACCCCCAGGGTGGGCTGAGTCCAGCTGGCCACTAAAAAAGAAAGAAGGAAGAATGGAAAATCAAACAACAGATTCGTGTGTGTGTGTGTGTGTGTGTGTGTGTGTGTGTGTGTGTGTAGCCAGCTCAGCCCACCAGGGGGCGGGGCTGGCTGGCATGTGGTGCTGGGGGATCGAACCGCGGTCCCTGTGCTTTGCCAAGCTTGTTCCAAGTAGGTGCTTTAGACCACTGAGCCATCTCTCCAGTCCTGGTTACAATATCTTACACAAAGCTCACAGAAAGCACAGTGCTGACTGTTTTCAGGGACGAGCACAAGCATCATGTGTTGTCCGGGTGAGAGTGGCGCCTGGAGTGAAGTAAGGGTCACACTTTTGCATCCTCAGCGACTCACTCTTGGCCCATACGGGGTTTTTCAGGTTGGATTTTTGGTTTGACTCTTGAGAAAAATTTTGAACTCTGAGCAGATTTTTTTCCAACTGCTTTACCAGCAGTGGCGAGTTCAGGCTTGGGGCCATTGGCAGCCAAAGCATCAGAGGACAGGTTGTAGTACAGGCACTTGGGTCAAGCCGGTCAGCACTCCTGAAATGAACTAGGAGTCCTCAGGGCTCATCCTCACCACTTTATATAAAGAACAGACTTAAGGAGCATCATACAGTGGCCTCATGGTCACAAAGATCAGCCTTTTGGGCTGCCTAACAAATGCAAGGCCCTGAGTTTGATCCCTGGTACCAGAAAAAAAAAAAAAAATCTTAATGCTGTACAACCTGTCTGTTAAGTCTTCTCTGACTCAGTCCTGATAGTTATTATTATAATTATTATTTTGAGACAGGGTCTTATAACACAGTTCAGGCTGACCTTGAACTTACAGAAATTTTCCTGCCTCGGCCTCCTGGGTGCTGGGATTATAGTGTGAGCTCCCATGCCTGGCTGTCTTGGTAGTCTCCTAGTGGCTTAGCTGGGACAAAAGTTCAGGTTTTCTTGCTTTGTTATCTTTTGCACAGTGTTAACACACAAAAACATGAATGGGAGAACTTTGGTCAGTACATAAAAGAATTTGGCCCAGTGCCACCGCAGGCTGCAGCAGAAGCATTCCACAGGGAAGTTACTAAGCACCTACTCTCTGGCAGGAGACCAACTCTGAATCCCAGAGTTCAAAAACAAAACACTACTGCACCACTATTTCTTACAAATACAACTCAGTTTCTCACCCTTTTTTTCTCCCTAATTTCTTTTTGGGTATAAGAAATTGAACTCAGGGACTGGCGCTTACCAGGCAGACCTTTTGCCACCAAATTACATCTCTGGCAAAACTTTTTTTTTTTTTTTTTTTTTTTTTTTTTTTTGGTACAGGGTCTCACAGCACAGCTCAGACTCCTAGTGATCCTCCTGTTTTCAGCCCCCCACTACTGGGATTACAGGTGTGTGCCACCAGGCC